CTCACTCACTTTCCACATAATTTGTGGGAATAAAGCGTGAGCTCATGATACAAAACGGAAGAAGCGTACAGTAATAGAGATCTCAATGCTAATTACTTGTTACCCTTTCTCAACACGCTTTGTTTCTTCTGCATCTAGATATTTATCATTTAGGTCTATTCATACAAAGAAGTTGCCTCCATTTAGTTCTCTCAAAACAACATGTGGATTCAGCAGTTACTACTGGTGTGTTTCTAGAGAATCGTTCAGTTCAATCGGTAGACGGCACTTAGTCAAATCGAGTTATTCGATTTTCCTACAATGACGATAATTGCTGTTCATAAGAAATGGTCAAATGACTGATGCATAGTCAATGATAGATAGATAACTTCTCTCAGTCTTATCAATCATGTAGCAATAATAAAGCTAGGAGAAGGCTGAACTTGATCACTAATAAAATTAGACGGTTGCTCAAACATTTTTAACTCTATCATCTAGTTAAGACCCTGTAAATTGAGTGACTCATTTGTATAATAACATTTGGATTTGCTAACTTGATCATTTTAGATCGAATAACCCATTGGATTCATCCAATAGTCAACCAGAAGTATTTTTCTCATAATCTGTCCCTAAAAAGATACTTGGACCATCAAGTTCATTTTAAGGGTCACGAAGAATCAAATTAACACTAAACTCACTTCCCAACTGCGAAGTGATAATACTGCCATTTACATTAATAGATGCAAACTTATTTCTGGATCTAATATTAGTGCTAGGCGTAGCATAAAACTCATATATTTGGATACTTGACGATTAGGACTACGCAAATGACCATGTGATGCTGTCATGAGACGTCATCAAAATCCACTTTATAACTAATTTAAACACCGCTTGTACGTTTGTTGTTGTTAAATAAACATAAACAAAAAAACACGACATGCTAAAGTTGCAGTAGCTCCCGGAAGGCTTTGAGAGACGACGGGAAATTGATCCATGCTACAGACGGAACAGGATTTTGAACATTAGATGAGTGATTTAAAAAGTTAATGGTCTTAGTATCATGTTTAAGGTTAATGGTGCTTTGAAATTCACTTATAACCTCTTAAAGTGTTATTCATGAATCTTAACCTACAAAACTTAGAGTTCATGTAAGAATACACGCGTTAAATGATCAGCGAAGACACTTAACTTACTCATCCGTAAGTGAACGCAAATTAAAATTCTCTTACTGTTGATGAACTAAGATATATAAATAGAACAATTACAACTGAAGTTAAACCAAGAGTAATAAATACAAAATCTCAACAACTGTGCTGAATTGGAATAAACTGAAAGTTTTATTATCATGGTCTTAATTACTTTCAACTACATCGCTAGAAATTCTTGTAGCTGTTATTTGAAAGTAAATTTAAACTCTTCCACTGATGGTGAAATTATTAATAAGTTTTCTAATATAGGATTCTGTTCATAGCCTAGCAACCAGTTTATATTAGAATTCAGGACGTCTAATTCATTTACCTGAACTTCCTATAGGATGAGACTAGTGTTGGGGATGTTAGATCCCCAGAACTCGCTTGATAAATGTCTTATTTTGGATTTTACGTTTGCGAGCATGGGCTGATCAGTTGATCTTGAGGTTTAATTCCCCACCAGGAAAATCCATGGCTGTGATTGGCTACTGTGTATTTTGGTGTGCTATTTTTTTGACTCTCCCAAGGACGTTTCTATGATGTATAAATAAACGAGATTGGTGTGCTTGAATGCATTGTGCTTGCTGGGTGTCTGTAGAATATACTTTCTACGCTTATCAAGACTTCTCTTTAGCCGTTTTAAATCAAGGTAGCATACCTGGACACCGGTTCATTGTCTCGTTCGCGCTTATCGACTAAAACGGACCCGTAATAGTTTCATTTGTACCTAATGATGAACATAACAACTAGGATTATTTGAAGCTGATAATTTAATTAATTGACTAATAGACAAGGAAACTTTGAAGTGATATATTTTAAGTTTTAAGAATTTAGTGAATATAAATCAAACAATAAATTAAAAGATCTATTTGGAAGAAGATGATAGAATAACAATCAAGTATGTAGCAGTAGCGTGAAAAATATTATTGCATGAAAGGGATGCTGTCGAAACATTCCACCATAGCATCGGTAAATTGATACCTTTCTTTTATCATCCTAATGAACTTTTGCAAGCTGTATTGCCTTAAATTCCTAAATGCAAATACATCACTTCAGTGTGCTCCAGTTTACTAAGTAATCTGAACAAATGACTAGTATTAGGATATTCGTATATAGATGTTGAATATTTATTTTTCTTTATTAGACTTATAATCTTATCAAGTCTGAAGTTGTATTTTAGATTAACTGTAGAATATTTTTTATATTTATTGATAACTAAAATATTATAATCGATACATTCTACCAAATGAATTCATCCCATAATATATTGAAGATCATGTAGTAAACTGAAAGTGTTTATAAGGAAATTTTCACCACAGACATCATTGGCTTATTTATATATCTCAATAAATATTTTTATCAAGAAGAAAATATATTTATTTCAAGCATAAAAAACAGAAAAAAAACTATTAAGGTAATTAAGTTTTTATTAGAATTTTGCTTTATTCAACAAATGTATAGCTTCATCTCTGAAAAATTCCCATCATATTAAAACATTGCTTCTTGAAAAATAAAATTTTACGGAATACAGACTATTTATCATTGAAATGATGAAGATTTGCAGCATAGGTGGATGATTTTGATGATATTGCATTATCTGAGCTAGGTAATTCAATTGCTAAGCTTTCATTCTAGTTCTGGATAACGTCATCATACAGCACTTACTGTGTGCGAGAGTGGGTAAAGTAAAAACTTGGCCTAAGGTTAATCGAACGAAATACAAGCACAATTGAAAAGAAGGAAACCTGAGAAGAAAACTTTTAACACCAAGGGTCAGCCGGTAAAACCGATTTAAGATTCATGTAACAACTAAGAAGTAAGTTCTTTTGATGTTATATGGAATAACAATGAAAACTACCCAATTAAGCCATCTAATTGACATAACGACAACAAAATTTGCTTAGTGTCTTATACTGAAAGTTTTATTTTTATCATGAGAATTTACAATGCAATTATAAATCGATTTTTATTCGTTGTAAATAAATATTGGAAAAAAAGTTTCATGTACCATATTGTAATCAACGAATTCCCAATGAAGAGTTGTAAATAAATAGTAATAGATCGAAAATTTTTAATTTCATGGTTGGAGAGAAAACTTGTTGAAAGAGCCACAACATTAATAAATAATGCTATTTTTAATTATAGACAATATCTCAGTTTTAAAGGTCATTCCCAGTCTAGAAATCTCTGCAGTAGGTCTTCTGACAATAATAGTGAGTAGGGTAATTTTGAACTCTGTTAGTTTATGCATATATGCTTACATACTTTGTTGATAAGTGGCGTTTAACACTGGATAAGTTTAGAACTTCCTTCTAAAATACTCTATGCACCTAATATCGAATAGAGTGCACCATAGTGATGATCCTACAGTCTAACTACAGTGGGTACCTTCTAAAATGTGCTTATAATCACGATGTTCATATTGACGATTTAGTGTACAGGTGGTTTGAAAAATAAGTGCTCTTTATGCACATGAGATCCTTTAAGTATAGTACTAAAATAATTCGAATATAACAAATAGCTTTCATGTTTTTAAGCAAATCTTAAATTCCAATTATTCTTACCATAAACTGAAATCTCTCTTGTCAAATTCTATCACGACATAGGAGAACAATATAGTTTCTAATTAGATTATCATCAGGCTTTACTTTAGTATACGAGAATATTTATAGATTTGTTGGATGTCCAAATTATAACTTGAAGAATTTGCGAGTTCATTTATCAAAAATTAATCTTACTGTTTCAAAATCTTCATTTTTATTGCACTCAAAAGATTTTTGAAATAAAATATTTTCGAGGGGTAAGATTGATCTAAATACTTCAAAATCTTCATTGCTAGGATTACTCTTTTCCTCCTAACAGTGATCTAGTAATTTCTTATTATTTATTTGAACTTCTTATGTGTATATCACACTACAATAATATACATATTTGTCATTCAGCATGATGAATAAAGGCGATAATGGTTATATCAATATATAGCTCAAATAAATCTATTAGGCTATATTTATTATATGGAAAACTGTAAATTGTGATATTTTATCTAACTGAATACAATAACATGAATTCGTATTATTTCTTCTAGTTCTCATTGGCTGCTTCAAACTTGTAGTATTTAAAATTCATAATAATGTTGTATAATGTCCTTCTGCATAAGGTGTTTACTTACAGTATTTTATTCAGTCTTAAAATCATATGCACACTTGTGTAATAATGGCAACTTCCAACTAAATTCTTTAATATAATGATGATTGTTAAATATAACAAGTTAATAAGCAGCTTACAAAAACCAACCGAAATAACATGGATTTAAGTTATTCTGCTTAAATTATTGTTGTTGTTGCTTCTTTAAAGATGGTAAAGGGAACTATATGTATGAATGAAATATATTGAACAATAAACATTTCAGAATTTATTTTATAAATGATTTTTGTACGTCAATCGTACTGACGTTTTACATCATTGTTTCTTTTAAAACTAATAGCATGTGACATTAGTGTTCCATTGCAAGCATTGTATTCTGTTATCACTAAGTTGGGAAAGCCAAAGAAATGTACAACCGTAGCAGTGTATTCACTAAATTCACCAAATGATTGTTCATTTTATTGGTACGTTTTTTTTATAAAGTAATCAGTGATACTGTATAACTGTTAGTTGGTACAATCAGTTGACTATTGAGCTTGAGTGTTTAAGGGTCTCTTCGTTAAAGTAAGTAGTACTTTGTTCTACACTTAATTTCTATTACTACTTAAATCAAAACAATAGTAGTATGTTTCGAAATGTAATTTTTTTCATAATAACAATTTACACAAATTATTCCAAAAGAATGAAGAGCTACCATATATATATGTATATATTTATATAAATCTAGAGGTGATTTCCTTTCTGCAGTTTTCAAAGTGTTTTTTCTGAGACTATTCTCCATATAAAATGGAATTAATATTAAAGCTTTTGTCCCCGATCAGTGCTGGCTTCATTTCACACACTGTAATTTTCTGCAGGGATAATTTCGAAACTTATTACTTCTGTAAACTGAGGAGTAATTACTGCTTGACAGTTGACAGTAATTACAAAAATAGATCGTTTAAGACTAGCAACAATATGTACTAGGATCATCCGCACTGATCTAACATTGGGTAACTGTCATTGGATCAGTTATCTTCATTACAAAAGAAATTGGAATTGTGTATAGGGGCGGTAACATTGTCAGTGAGTATTGAAACAGGAATCCATGAAATCGTTTCTGTGTTATTTATTCGATGCTCATTGTCGTCATTTTCAATTCCAGTACCACCATCATCTGCAGTTAGTGCTGTTGGTGTTAACTTAATATCGGATAATATTGGTTCTAATCTTAATTCGTAAGTAGTTTGTGTTTGATCAGTTAGTATTTTTGTGGTTGTTGGAGTAGTTGAGGTTGTTATAGTTGTTGTAAAAGTTCCAAATGATTCTAATACTGAACTGACTGCATAAATTCTTGTCGGTGTCGAAAAGTTACTATGTTCATCATGATGTAAAATTAAGTGTGGACCGTGAGTTGGACATCCTCTGGATAGTGTGCTGACAATCTGAAATAATCAATGAGACAAAAAAAGAATTTCGATTAAAAAGCCATTAAATACTGTGTATTATATAGCAAGCTTATAGAGTTATTATTCAAGAATAATTGTAGTTAATACTTGTTTTAACAAACGACTGTTTTCTAGTTACTTCTTCAGTTGTCTAACATTGACGATCAACATTCACTGTTTAGAAACTCCTAATTAATATATTAGGAGCTGTCATTTATTCTTAGTCAAACAACCAACCATCAGTAAATATACTTAGATTTATCACTTCGTCTAACCTGAAGTCGATTCCAACTCTCCATTTGCTCCCAGCTCACAAAAGTATGTCTGAAACTTCCGCTTAAAAGTCTTAGATTTTTGAACCTGTTTAATTCTCTCACAATACAGTACCATGTATCTTACTAGAAAACAGCTCGCATCATCACTCTATTGTTCATCACTAGAACTTACAATTATCGAATTTATGAAGAATAAATATATTTGAAATTCATAAGGAAGACACTTTCGAAAATATTCCGACAATCATTAATAGACGTTTTGCAGTTGTAACTATCAGTATGTGGCCTGTAAAGATTGTTGGATGTTATCGAGATCACTAACCGATGTAAGTTAGACAACCTGGGAAGATCAGAAAGCACTGGATCGTTGTTTTACCACAGTATGGAACCCTTCAGTAGTGCACAGTCATGACACCATCATTGGGGACTAAAGCAGACACCTTTAGTCTCGATCTCTGACATTCAAACTCTAGACTCATGAATCTAAGTTTTAATCAGTTGAGGATATTGATGGAGATGCTAGATATCCGGAAATCGCTTGTTGATCTTCTTAATTTTGTGACTTATTCTTGGAAATTTGAATTCCTTGTTTTCGTACCAAAAATTCCCTTTATTATCTTCAATTTGTGTCTCTCACTTGAAAGAACCCTAAACATCACTGGCCAAATTTATCTTTTAGTGTGCGATTTTGTAACATTTCCAAGGACGCTTTTTGTACTGTCTAGACCATGCTTGAATAGAAAGCTTGCTAATTCGTTTATTATGCGCTGTTTGTGGATTATACAATCTTTCTGTTCTAGTTAACTTAGCTAGATCTTAGAGATTAGTTTAGCTGTCCTGTTAATATGACACTGGTTTACGTTCCCTTCGCCAATGTCAAGTCATATTTTGGTTAGCGCAAGCGTTGGAGATACTAGGCGACAGTATTCTATTATATTCGGTGAGCGACATCCTCACACCAGACAAGGTTGAAATACACTTGTCAAGGCTTCTCGGTAAACCTATAAAAACTCTATCTTGGTGTTAATCAGTAGTGAACACGCCTAACAAGAAACAACTATGCAGCACCTCCATGTTTTCTGTGATTTCCTTAGTAAGTTCAGTTCTTGGTCTCACTAAGTTATAATTATGTTGATTAAAATATTTATAAAAATACTTCAAAAAAGTATTGAAAGTAGCTTTTAGATATCTGTTTGACCTGATTTCTATTTTTTTTGTATAACTAACTTATTCAAAAAAACCTTGTCTACTCAATTTACCATACTAGCAAAAGCCATAAAATAAATTAGGGTCAAACAGAAGAGAACAATGAAAGAAACATTAATTCACACTCTAATAAAATCTTTCCTTTTTATCCATGGCCTACATAGTCATTATTCATTGGATAAAATTTTCATTTTAAAAACGCTTTTTATGTATATACATGTTTTGTAATGCCATTTTTGTTTAGAAATAATAGCAAGGAAATTCGAGCCTACATGTATTCACTTTACTTTATCATTTGTAGGAAAAGTGAATCTGACATTTGAAATTATTCTTTGTCTAGAACTAAAGATACTGGGAATTTTCTCAAATAAAAAATATTTAGATAAAGCATAACATAAATTTTTATTGGAATCGAATTCACGATGATTATTTTGCAGCTATATTAATAATAATAATAATAATAATTGCTAGTGCTACTGAGATTAGCTAATATTTTTATTCATATTCTGACTTTGGCCTATATAATAGTTGTAATCGACATAGTTCTTGTAATTTTAATGCATAATGCCATCGATTTAATTATAGTAAGTAACCATTTGAAATTTGTGGTAAAATAAAATCTACAAAGTGAATCTTGTTTCAATAAACGATTTTGTTAATGCTTTACACATTAATGAATAATTGATGGTAAATATTGAACTTATATTATTTATGCTGCTGTTTTTCAAGTCTCTTGAAACAATAGGTTATTGAAATGTTTTGAAACAGAGATTCATAGTATTTTTGTTATTATATCTCAAACTGTCTATGAAATTGTTTGTGAATATCGGTTCCATTTGATGTAGAGAGCACACTTTGAAGACACTAGTTAATGATAGGATGAACTTTCATGTGTCACACAATGTCTGATGTCCCTTATTTTATGATACAGAACTCCATGTAATTACCAAACCCCAAATAGGAAAGGTATAGTCTGAACGTAGCATAGCTTAGCAGTATAAAATTTACTTCGGTTCGCTATATAAAATCCTTCGATTAGGTAGACAGAAATTTTCCTGACAATAAATTCCAGTATAAACTGAAATCAGTTAGAGAACTAGTGAAGACTAGTAAGAACAAGGGTTTGTTGCATCTTAATTTTCGACGTATCAGCAATAGGATTACGTAAATGAATTAGAGATCGAACTCAGAACTTTTAGATTTCATGTCAAATAAAACACTGTTCAGTTACTGAATCGTAATTCAAAAGTCAACATTTGTAACTTTGGTCATTTTAAAACACTGGAGAATCAAAATACGATTTTATTGGTTACTCTCTCCTGACCTTGAATTCTTTTGTTTCCACTCTTTACCTTCAAGAAATTCATCTAAAAGTTCTTCATTAGTGAGAACATGATTATTCATAAGTTAGAAAGCAGAAGTGATTAATAGTCCTTCGCAGTTTGAGGTGATAGATTTCTTCGATTTGTACATTTCAGTAAATCATATATACACTTTAGGTAAGAATTACTCCTATGACTTGAGGTATTTATTGTTCTGGAGGACTGGTATTATATATATATATATATATATATATATATATATATATATATATATATATATATATATATATATATATATATATATTAATTGGACTTGAAAAAACGAAGTACGACAAAGAAAATATTATATATCCTGAATTTCTTTGGTAACCGTAGTCAAACACAGCCTTGTTCCATTTTAATTAATACTCTATCTGTAAAATTAATAACAAAAATACCTATGCTCTGATTATAACCTAGATTATTTCCTGTGCCCTATATTTATCGTTCCAACTTTTTAAAGATGTAATATGCTAATTTTGCTGGCCATTTATATCAAAAATTCTTTTTTGACATAAGTAAATGTCTGCCACAAAATTAATCAGTAGTATGTGATCACTAACTTGATCCATAATTATGTGGATAGTTGTTGTAAAGAATAAATGAAATATGATAATATTATGTTTGTCTACACTGAGTACACAAAAATATGAATGAATATATTTTGGGCTGTATAGATGCTGTAGGAAAAATAGTTGATAGAAGCAAAATAAAATTTACTGACTTATTCAGACTGGTTTTACGGTCTTCAAAATTCATTCGGTTGATATTAATGAAGCGTTTCAATACTTGAATAAAATTGATAAAACTGACAAAAGTTTGAATAATCTTCAATTTTATCAACTAATTATAAAACATCAATTTTATTTGTGTGTTTAATTTTTCGATATAATTGATCTAATTATGTAGCTGAGAAAATACAAACATAACTGTATATACTTATCAAATCTAAAAAAATAATGCTCCGTAGTATCCAGAAAGTTGTATGGTTTAAATTTATAGAGTTTTATTCATCAGAAGTACAGTTGTATGCTTTCTTGTTGCCTTATTTTAAGCCTAATTAAATTCTAATGCATATTTTTAATTTCTAATTTGCATCATGAACTGATTGCAGCTGGAAAACTATCGTAAACCAACAAGCACTAAACAGCTGTTGGTGTAAGACCTCTCACTTGTCGGCATCCAAGACTCAACCATAGACAGAAATACCTACTAGCAAGAAGTCCCATATTACTGCTGTCCAGTGTCTACTTGTTTTCAACGGTGGTCTGAAATGGGATCAACCGTGATGAATACTATGAGAATTTAATAATCTCTAAAAAATCCTATCACCGGAATCTCGATTTATGTAGTTCACTTATGTAACATAATTTTCACGATTAATCGTCAGTTGATCCAGTTGAACATTGTAACAATACGATGTGATTTATTAAATTTACACAGATTAATTGACATGTCTAATCGATAATCAGTAAACAAATAATGAACATATCAGTAGGGGAACTTTTTTGATATTGAAGAGTTAAACCAACTGGTCACTGTCACAAATATATATACCTTGCACCATAGTATAATGGAGACCGTTGCTTTTACACAGTGAAATCATGAATAGATCATTATCGTACGACCATTAGAAACCGGGAAGTAATGGACGACCCTTTCGTCCTGGTATGGGATTCATCAGCACTGTGGATCCACGACTCCTGCCACTCACATGATTCGAACTCAAGACTCTCGGCCTTGCGCGCCATCGTCCAACCTCTGGACCACTGGACTAGCATTCAACGATTTTAATGTCTAACTCTGATCAATCTAAGGATTTTGCGCAACCTCACCCATTGTCTTTGGTGGTTACAGCCAGCACTCGACAGGGATGAACTCCACTGGTCACGTCTAAAGGTGGTCAAGCAGTGATTTACGCATGACATAGTCCAGAGGTTAGACGTTCGCGCACAGGACGGAAGGTCTTGGGTTCTAAGCCAGCGGGTAGCAGGAGAATCGGATGCGCACTTCTAACGAGTGCCTACCGGGATCAAACGACGATTCAGTGCTTCCAGGTCTCTAACGGTGGTCTAAACATGATTTGTTCATGATTTAAATGCGTAGATATGTATAAAAATGTTAGAGGGATAGGTTGAAATATATGGTTTTCACT